TGCAAGTAAATTAAATTAAATTAAACTAAGAATTAAAGAGATATGAAGAGAGTCTTAGGGTTAGGATTCACCACTAAGCCCATGCAATTAACCATATGCTTTCAATTAATGGGGAATTCATTAGTGTAATTATAGATGTGGTCACATTATCATCACAATTGTAAGCATAGATTATCAACATCAAGAATGAATTGTCTACCTAATGACAATTAAACTAAAGTGTAGAACCCATTCAAGACTACATCATAACCCACCATACACATTCACAAATGTATCCGCTAAGAGCACACATCAATCAAGAGGATAATACTAATTGTAATTAGAAGTATGGATTAACATAATCAAGCACAAATTGCCTACTTTACTACAATTACCTAATGACAATAAGCTAATTGTAGAACAACCCATCAAGATTAAGCCATTATCCATCAAATTAATTGACAATTGTATCAACTAAGTCTCATGCTATTGCCATCACTAAACACAACTAAAAGAAGTATCTAGTGTAGAATATAATTCTAAATCAATCACACATAGACATGCAATTTTCTTATAGAATCAATGGAAGAATTAATTTTCAATCATCTAATGAAGAATAAAATCCCTAATTAATCATATATAGACATACAATCAACTTGGAGATTTCAATGGAAGAATTAATCAATACAAGCCATAATTTGTCAAATCAAGCATATATATATAAATAAATCACGAGGCCATATATTTAATTACAACATAATAATTCCCCAAGAAAAGAAAAACAAAGGTTTAGGTTACATGAACTTAGGGCTCATCCAAACCCTAAGTGAAGAACTAGCTCATGGAGAAGATGATCATGGTGTCAACAAACTCCATCTCCATCTTTAGGCTCCTTTTTCTTCTTCCTTCAATTGTAGACAAAGCCTCTGTAAAATATTCTTCAAACCCCTAGCTTTTCCTTTTCCCCAGAGAGAACGTGATATCACGATACAGAAAAAAAAAATAAAACTTCTTAATCTAATAAATTAAAAACTCCCTTAAATAAAATAATACTAACCCTAAACTAATGGCTCATTGGGTCTTAAGTAACAAACCCTATTAAAGCCCATAAATTACAAAAATAAGCCTAAAATAAGAAAATCCTGTAATATTGCCAAGTCTTGGGGGATCAATACCCCATCCTGGGGATCGATCCCCCAAAAGTTGGAAATTTTCTTTAAGCCTTATTTAGCTCCATTTTGGCCCCAGGCTCGTTGGTTTGCTTCTTCATCTTTGAGAACATCATTAAAGGCCCGAGATTGACCGCTTTTGAAGAATAAACACACTATACGAGCAATGGGTTTCGACCTCTTTTTGCCATTTTTTTGAACTTTTTCTGAATGTTTTTGCTTGACTCCAAAGAGGCTTTAATGGACCATTCTTAGCTCATTTTAACTTTATTGCCCTGAAATACACATAAACATAAATTAGGACTAAAACATGAAATTAAGATAGATGCAAAGACTGAAATACCCTAACTTAGGTGCTGAAATGTGCAACATTTAAGCACTTATCACGCCCCCAAACTTAGATATTGCTAGTCCCTAGCAATGAACTACAACATGGAAATGAAACAAATATATATACAACAATGAACTAATAAAACAAATAAAGATAACACCACTTTTGTAGGGATCACGGTTGCATTTAGAATATGCAACAAGCCTTTTAAACCCCTAGGTTACCCCTAGTGGACGAGTGAAGTCTCGTGAGGCTTTCCAGAAATGGTACCCACGAACATCAACAGTTCTTTCTTACTTGAGAAGCAACGACACATATTAAACAAGTGTTAAAAGTAAACTACCTCAAGTATGCAAATTTCTGCCATTTCTAAGCTATTCTCAACATTTCAACATCATGTAAGTAAAAATAGTCCTCCACACATCAAGCAAGTTAATCATGCAAATTGAATCAATTTTATCATCATTTTTTAGTGAACCGGCATCAAAATATGTTGCTATCTCAGCAAATCAAAATAATGGCATAGCTTTACCCTCAAACTAGCATACAAATATAGTACCAGACATCAAAACATTAAATAAACCTTGTTATTCAATCAAATATTTTTTTTTTTTATTGATTTCATTTTTTTTATTTTTATTTTATGTATGACCATGTGCAATGTCCAAGTTCCTTAAGCTCTCTAATCACCCCACGTAACAAACGTTGAGCCAACGACTCCCAAACTAGATGGTCTTAAGGCGTTAAGTGTAAAGACACTCCTAAGGGCGTAATGACTCGGAATGGCTAGGCTACGAACTCAAACTAATCATACATCTTACATTCTCTCCTTGTCTTCCTTTTTAATCAGTTAACATGTTGAAAGAATGCAGGTCTTTTTTTTTCTTTTTCTTTTTTTTTTTTTTGGTGAGTGTTTTTATTTCTTTTCTTTGCAAGGTCATTTTATCAAGAATAAAAGCTTTCAAAGCATACTAGCTCAATTGGGATAAACCAAGACAATAGTCCACAAATTGAATGCTAGTGTGCGCAAGTGCAAGTGTAGAATTCTAAAATCAACTCTCAAAGCATTTTCAACCAACAAGATGATGTGTACCACAAGAGCAAACATGATATCAAAAATTAAAAATTTACCCCTAAATGGTATGCTAGAGCATACAAGAAGTATTAGACTCTAACAACTTATTTTTCAAAGGCACTATGTTTCAAAAGTTCGAAATCATTGCCAAACACATCTCAAGTCTCATCATGCATTTAAAGCTCAACTTAAAATAGAGTGAATCATGATGACCTTGCCCCTAAACTTAAACTATACATTGTCCTCAATGTGCAATGAGAACAATGAAAAATGATGGAAAGAGTATACCGTGATGGCAAAGACTATGAAGTCCGGCAATGATCCAGTAGAAAAGATGTCTCCCCCAAACTTGGATGCAAAAACCTAGCTGTATAACCATACTAGCAAACTCACATCAAATATATATGGAATAAGCAATGCATACAGTTCAAAACAATATATAATAAGAGGCAAAGAAATATGTGATGAATGCCCTTAATAAAAGATAAAAACAGTCATAACCAAGCATAAGGGCATACTGTTTTTTTTTTTTTTTTTGAAAGAAATAAAGGAAAAGAACATATATACACAACCAACAAAATAAAATAAATAAACAAAAATAAGAAAAATGGGCTAAGTTTAACGTCTCTAGCAAGACGGAATGATACTTTGCAATTTTTATTATTATTATCTTTTATTTATTTATTTATTATTATTATTATTTTTTTTTTCAAATGAATATGAATAACAAAGCCAAAAACAATCATCCATGTATAGATCTATAGCAAAAACATCAATACAAAACATATATGGATGAATTAAACCAAAATATATCATCAAAACCCAGAATTACAGGTTCCCAAAATAGCCAGCTCTAAATCACAAAAATTTGGCTATAGCCACATAAAATCCCATCCACCTAAAATAGAAAAATCTGAACAGCATAAAATAGACAAAAGAAATCATGTATCAGGTGGCAATGTGGAAATGTGTGGGAGACTCGATGAAACAATCTCATATAGATCTCGTAGCATGCGTTGGGTAGTGGTGTGTTGCTGTATAAGCTCAACATGCTCGACTCAACGCTGCTCCTGAGATTCAGCCAACTCGGTCCTCAACTGCCCCACAATGGCATTGAACTCTGCCCTAGTCACCCCTGTAGACTCCTCTGCATGTGGTGACACAGCCTGTGCTATCTCATGATTAGCACCATCAGCAATCTGCTCCTCAGACCTCCCAATGACGTCCTCAACCAGGGCATTCACGTCCTCTCTAGCACTTGCTACCATGCTATCACCTTCCTTCTTGGCACTAGCCATATGAGAAAGGCTTCAATTCCACTATGCTAGCCCAAAAGTCACCCGTGGAGCCTCAGAGATCTCATCATTATCAACCATGAAGCGCCGAAGGACAAAGAGCTGGGTAATAAGATACGGAAACGGAAGTTTCCATTTTTTCGCATTCGGATCCCCACTTACCACTAAATGCTTCCAATATTTATGCATCTGGTTAAAGATGAAAGCTGGAACAGAAAACCATGCTCCAGTGTGGGTAGCATACAACACTATTAAGAACTCTTACCCCCGCTGTACCTTATGACCTATTGGAAAAACATTCCGTTTCAGAACTTGATCGAAAAACCACACATCCTTAAGGTCCGTTTGGATGGCGATAACGTTATATGTTATGGTTTGGTATGATATGAAAACAACCGTTTTGGTATTGGTATATTTTTAGTAGAAATCGGATCCATGTTTGGTAACAATTGTTTTTGTTTTTGATAATTGTATATCAGAAACATGATAACGTGTTTGGTATTGTCATGCGTTTTAAGGAATCCGAAAACAAAACACGTTTGGGACTAGTGTTTTCTTATTAAAAATTCTGAATCAATAACAGAATACCTGTTTGGTAAAGACTGTTTTTTTTTGTTTTGAAAAATTATATATATGAATACAATTATAAGTTTATATGTAAAATAGTCCATTTTTCTTTATGATTTGAGATAATTTGTGAAAAAAAAAAAAAAAAAAATCTGCATTAGAGTTGGGAATTTTTTTTTTTGTTAAATTTACATGTATAATGGCAACCAAACTACTTTGTAATAATGAATAAATCTGCATAAACATGATTAATGGCAACCAAATTACAAATCTAACTTTGTAATAATCTTTCAATGAGAGTAGATATTTGCACTCCATTTATCTTTTTCTTTTGGCTTGCATTCCATTTAACTTTATTTTGTTTCAAATATATATATATATATATATATATATATATATATTCATAATAAATGTGAGAGAGAGAGAGAGATCCTTGTAGTTGAAACTAACAAGAAACAAAGCCAAAACGTTAATCGTCTTGAATTGGTCAGAGTTGAAATTTGGTGAACATTGAAGCTTGTGAATAGTTTTACTTCACTTAGATTAGTTTGAAATTTCGTAGTGAAGGTCTTTCAAATTGGTAATATTTTTTTTTTGTTTAGTCATAAGACCATTTCCCCTTTTGTTGAGTATTTATTTTGATAACGGACTTGTGAATATTTCATACAATATCCAACCATAAGCAGAATTGATAAATATGAATAAAGATTAAAAGCAAGCAATCAAGGAAGATCCCTAATATAAGATTGAACAACATTCACATATATACTTCCACGTATAGTTTTGCTTTATACATCACAATCTTAAGAACTTAAGTGTTGCACCATTCACATATATACTTCTACATATAAGGAGCTAGACATTCCTTTAAAATAGTATGTGTGTACACACACACTTCATTACACTTACATAAAATGTACATACAACTGGAGATCACTAATATTCATTCCATAAAATGTACACCCACTTTTTTATACTTGCATAGGCCTCCATTTGATTAACTTAGAGATCACTAGTTTTCTAGAGTTGCAGCAACTGGAGAATGCTTCCTATCAATCCCACTGGTGCCACTGCCTATAACTTACTGCCATATCCTTCAATGTAGTAGCAAAAAAATGAATTTGAATGTAAAACAAGACATTACATATAGTAGCAAAATATAAAGCAGAGTTAAATTCAATTTTTTTTTTTTTTTTTAAATCTGGCATGACTTCCCCTTAAAAATGGACATTTCCAAAATTTCAAACACAATAAACCCAAGGGACATCGCCCACAAAATTAATTCAATAAGGGACACCGCCCACAAAATTCATTTAACAAGGGACACCGCCCATAAAATTATTTAAACAAGGGACACCGCCCACAAAATTCATTTAACAAGGGACACCGCCCACAAAATTATTTCAACAAGGGACACCGCCCACAAAATTCAATTAACAAGGGACACCGTCCACAAATTTAATTCAAGCAAGATATATCTAACCTTCTTTCTGGCTAAGCTGTAAATTTGGAGTGTAAATGACCTCGTGCAAAACAAAACACATGAACAATATTAGAGAAAAACAAAATAAGACACGGTAGGAATGAAATAATTAGAAGTAGTAAACAAGATATATCTAACCTTTTTTCAGGCTAAGCTGTAAATTTGGAGTGTAAATGACCTCATGCAAAACAAAACACATGAACAACATTAGATAAAAACAAAATAACACACGGTAGGAATGAAATAATTAGAAGTAGTAAACAAGATATATCTAACCTTTTTTCAGGCTTAGTTGTAAATTTAAAGTGTAAATGACCTCATGCAAAACCAAACACATAAATAACATTAGAGAAAAACAAAATAACACACGGTAGGAATGAAATAATTAGAAGTAGTAAATAAGATATATCTAACCTTTTTTCAGGCTTAGTTGTAAATTTAAAGTGTAAATGACCTCATGCAAAACAAAAGACATGAACAACATTAGAGAAAAACAAAATAACACACAGTAGGAATGAAATAATTAAAAGTAGTAAATAAGATATATCTAACCTTTTTTCAAGCTTAGTTGTAAATTTAAAGTGTAAATGACCTCATGCAAAACAAAAGACATGAACAACATTAGAGAAAAACAAAATAACACACGGTAGGAACGAAATAATTAGAAGTAGTAAACAAGATATATCTAACCTTTTTTTTTCTCTAATGTTGCAAATAGAGTGTAAATGACCTCAATAGCAAATTTTACAAATGCCCTAAAGCTCACTCCCAAAATGACAGAGAAGAGAACACAACAGCAACTAGTACGCAGTTCAAAATATACCATTTAAGTTTATATTACATACCAAATGAAACACAGGAAATTAACTAAATACGTATTACATGTCATATATTACAAAAGATGGAAGTTTATCTAACTTCATCTTTCAATAACAACGATAATGAGCAACAAGAGGACAATGACAATAAACATGATTGTGATAGCAAGACATCCACAACCTAGGAAGAGCATGTACTTCTGTCTACATTATTCATTTTGAATCATTGCAATGACTCTGTCCAAGTCAGATTGAACCTATTCTTCAACTTGTGCACCTTTGTGCAACTCATCCACCCATATAAATGCATTCATATGTGACTACAAGAAATATAAATCATACAATTAGGAAACAGTAACAGAAATAGCACCTAAAAGTAATTGACCATACCTCCCGAGCTGGACACCTATAGAATTGTCGACCGTCATTTTTTGGAGTTCGAGCCCTATACAGATGCATAGGAGCTCTACCACATGCACATTGTGGTCGCTCACCTTCAAGCCTATACATAAGTGCGCCTACAAGTACTAAAGCATTTAATATTTGATGTCCTAATATAATTAGTTATTACAGTTATCCATAAATAAGGAGCATCTGAGTTTAATTTACGTAATATAATTAGTTATTACAGTCATCCATATTTTAATTCTACACACTATTAGACAGTTTTATAATTAGTGATTACAGTGCTCCCAAATTAGGTTGGCAATACCATCACGATAAATATCCATCTGTCGTACCTGTGTATTAGTAGCACTGACCACCTGAACATCGTCATCCATATCAGGTTCATTTTGTGAAGATTGAGGGGTTTCAGAATCAAAAATTTCATCAGATTCACCTTCGGATCTTATGAAATTATGTAATGTACAACAGGCAATGACAATAAGAACTTGAGTGTCAAAGTGATAAGGGGGCATTTGCTTCAATATAGCGAATCTCATCTTTAGCAACCCAAAACATCGCTCTATGATATTCCTCAATGACGAGTGCCTAAAATTGTACACCTCTTCTCTACCACGTGGTCCTCTAGTATGTCTACGATATTCTTGCATATGGTAACGTTGACCTCGGTAAGGGGCCAAAAACCCCGGTTGATTGGCGTACCCAGAGTCAACTAAATAAAACTTACCTGTCATGTTAAGTATGTTTAGTATTAAAATTAACGTATTTGTAATGTTAAATGCACAAATATGGAAAGGTAATATTTTTACCTTCGGGTGGTGATGGAAAATTGAAATCCTCATTCTGAATGCACTCATTTAAAATCTTTGAATCATTAGCAGACCCTTCCCACCCTGCTAGAATGTATGTGAATTTCATATCAAATGAACACACGGCCATGACATTTTGGGTCGTATCACCCTTTCTACCACGAAAGGGTATTTGTTGGTCAACTGGCACTACAGCATGGATATAAGTACCATCTATGGCTCCTACACAATTCTTAAAGTATGAGTAAAACTTTGGATTGTTCTTTATCTCTTTAGGAATTTATTTCAAATCCGGGAGAACAATAATTTTAGTCCCTAACTTACAAATTAACTTTAATACAGTATGAAAGTGATATGAAATTGTGGAAGTAAAGTGTTGGAATCTTTCAGCAACGACACGATTCCTTTCATTGTGAGACACGGTAAGTAGGGAAATTGCAACTTGTTCTTCTACAGTTAGAAATGTTGAATCTTTCAATCCTAACAATTTCAACTCACGACACAATGCCCTAAAGGTGTTGGGGTACATCCAAAAATTTTCATAACACCTATCTTCATGTCCATTTAAGATCTCGAATATGTAATCTTCCCCTTGTAACATGGAATCCCTACAACATTGCTTATCAAAATGTTTATAATAGTACTCATATACGGCTGCGATCAATACAAGAATTTCCTCCTCATCATCATCATCATAAATGATTAATATTGTCCTTATATCCATAGCTACTATCCTATTTAAGAATAAACAGAAGCAGTTATTGTAACAAAAATTAAGCAAAATGGAAAAGACATACCAAATCATACAATTATCCAGCAATAATGTAAAAGCAATAGATGTAAAACATAAATAGTTTTCCAGCATTAATTTAAAAGCAGTAGATAAAGGAATTAAATACAGTCTTCCAACAATAATGTAAAAGCAGTAGATAAGAAAAATTCATTACAGTCATCTAACAGTAATGTAAAAGCAGTTATAAAACAGTCATCCAAAAGCACATAAAAGTAAGATACCGAAGAAATCATAGAGGCTGATTCATCACCCACCCAACCTTCTTTTCATTAGGAATGCGAAGAAATATGTCCCTCCACACCTTGTCCTCACCAAACATCCTTATGATCTTAGCATAATAGGTATCATCAATCCCCACTAATGTGTTGACGATCTTAACGCACTCTTCAAGCTGGGGATCCATTTCTTTTTCTTTTTTACTGGGAGATGTCACTTCAGGCATTTCGGTGAATCGAGATGATTGACAACTAGAAGATGATTCTGCTATGGCTTTTGCAATTTTATCAGCTTTCGCGTTCCCAATATTAGTCAAACATTCTATCACTAAAGACATTGTTTCTGAAAATGTTTTTTTCTTCTATTTCTTAGCTACAGGTTTGGGAGTAGGACTGAGGTCAATAGGTCCTTCTACATTAAGTCGTTCTACATCAGTCATGCCCACATTGTCCTCAGTGTTATGAATTTGAGCTTCATGTGTTGCCACTTGAGGCATTATTAGCACTTGGTGAGGTCTGGGTGGCTTTGTAGAATGATGAACACATGCTTGCCAGTAGCATGTGTATTCTTAAAAATCCTTACCATCTGCTCATAATTCTTACACCCCTGTTTTTTTATTTTTTTGTCATGCTTGAGAACCTACACGTTATCAGCTTACAATTATTGTTCATCAAACCCTTTTAATACTAAATCATTAATTACTAACTATATGTATGGTAAATAGACACGTATTGAAATACTAACCTTGCACAATTGAACCCATCTTTCAGCTTCCAACTCAATCATTCCAGTTTCACTGTTGTATCCTACACCAGTCTTAGATAATATTTGTTTGCAATCTTTGTACAATGCTCTTATATTATTGAATTTTTGTCTACATTGGTCCTTCGTATACTTCTTTCCAGTTTCCAATAACATTGCGTCCACAATATGTGTCCACCCATTTGGATTAAAAGTTGTGCCTGTACGATTTCCTTTTCCAACCTCTTCCTCCATCAAGAGCATGAATTTCTCTTGATGGGTATCACACCAAACAGCGGCATCGGCCTGTTCAACAACTACAACATCCTCACCATTGTCACCATCAAGAGAATGAATGTCTCTTGATGGGTATTGCTCAACATTGTCATTGTTCATATCCATCTGATTATTATTAAGTAATTGAACAGTTTAGTACATTGAATTGTGTTTTGACTCATAATTCAACACGTCAATGATAAGTAAAAAAGGTACTGTCTATAAAACACTTCAATAAGGGGCAAAAAAGAAGAAAAAATGAAGTAAAAATGTGATAAAAATTAGTCTCCTTCCATTTTCTTCATTTTCTTCAGTTCAAATTCTCACCATTTTCTTCATTTTCCAGTTCAAATTCTATTTGTCAAAATCAATTAAATCAACCACATGACTTTCTTAAAAATCAGTCTCCTTCCTCAATTTCAAAGGCAATTTCTATATAAGCTAGGTGATTTAAATTGGATAAGTTTCCATTTCTCTAGTTAATGTTTTCCTAAAGGTTGAGAAGAGCAGTGATCTCAACTTCTCTCTCACAACTGACAACATCAAAGCTGTGATTTTGGTATGTATATATTCATACAATTTTACAATGTTTCATGTATATATTTATATCCACACATAATATATGTATGCATGAAGCACTGCAAAGATTAAGATATAATACAATTTTCAACATTTTAAAATTGTTTTTTGCAGAAATAAAACAAAAATTGTAGTCAAAATTTAGTATTTGAGGCTAGCTCTTTGTTGTAGTTTGTACACTAACTACTAGTTTAGCGTAGTCGAAATTTAGTATTTGAGGCTAGCTCTTTGTTCTAGTTTGTACACTAACGACTAGTTTAGCATATCTAAGAGCAAGGTGAAGGAAAGTGGTACGTAACAGTATAACACACTGGATGAGACTCATCTGAACTGAAAAAGCACTCACGAAGAGTAAGGTGAAGGAAAGTGGTACATAACAGTATAACACACTGGATTGTTCTTTATCTCTTTACAAAATTTCAGGGAAATATTATTGCAAGCACATTTCACAGAAGTAATACCTCTAGATGGCAACAATCATATTTATGTTTCAGATGTGTGCATAATATACTGAGAGAATATTCTAATCATTTAGTGCATAGTGAGTGTTCCAGTAAATAAATGTATAATAGTATTCTTTAGGCCATTCTTTAGAAACTTAATTGCAACCCTATGAATTTTTGTATAATATCAACAAATATGCAAATGTGAATTGACAAGACTTGACAAATTATCAGTGCATTTTTTTGAAAGAGATGTAAATGTTTATTCTTTTTCTTATATTACCAATGAATATTAAAACATTCAACAAGCAATTCGTTCTCTATTTAGTTATGTGAACAAAAGTTCGTGTTCCTCTTCTGTTGATTTAATTTCTTTTTTAGATTCTTTGGGGCCTTAGACCCCGGTTTCTTTTATGTCTACGGGACGAGTTCCCCTATTGAACGCCTTTTTTAATATTATTACTTATAAAAATAAAAAATTAAATAAGGCTGTTCTTAAAGATATAAATTCAATTTTAATGCATTTCTTGTGGAAGGGTAGTTCTTTAATGAATGCTGGTTCTAAAGTAGCTTGGGAGGATGTTTGTTACCTTAAAAAGGAAGGTGGTTTGAGTCTTTGAAGTTGAATGCTTGGAACAGGGCCGCTATGGCTAAGAACTTATGGGAAGTTGTTCAAGTGAAGCCTCAATCTCTATGGACTGAATGCGTTAAAGTTCATCTCATTAGAAATAGAGACTTTTGGTCTATTAAAATTCCTCAAAGTAGTTCTTGGAGCTGGAGGAAAATCTTACAAATTAGAACTGACTTTAGAATGTTTATTATGCATAAAGTGGGTAATGGGACACACACTTGGTTATGGAATGACTATTGGCTCCCTATGGGCCCTATTGTGATGAAAATAGGTAATAGAGTCATCTTTGACTCAGGTTTGGGTGAACAAGCAACTGTGGCTGATATTATAGTTAATAACCAGTGGCAGTGGCCTCAAACCAACACCCTTGAGCTTATTGAGCTAAAGAATGCCATACCTTCAGATTTCCAACCTTTCTAAATAATGATCAAGTTATTTTGTTACCTAGTAAGGGGCAGTTTACCATTAAAACTGCTTGGGAAAATATTAGACCTAAGAAAAATGTTGTTGCTTGGAATGAGACTGTCTGGTTTAAAGGAGCTATTCACAAGCATTCTTTTATCTGTTCGCTTGCCTGTTTAAATAAATTGCTAACTCAGAACAGATTACTGAGATGGGGGGTGATTTCCAAAATTAGTTGTGTTTTCTACAGGCAAAACATTTAGGACATAGATCACTTGCTCTTCCAATGCTGCTTTACTAAGAGACTATGGAATTATGTTGTTGCTATTTGCTAAAAGCTTACTGCCCTGGCCTAATGGTAATTGGTGTACTCTTTTGAACTGGGCTGTTTTGACTCTTGGAGGAAAGTCTTTGGTAACAGTTTTAAATAAAATAGTTCTTGCTGCTTCAATCTATGTTCTTTGGAGGGAAAGGAATTCCAGAATTTTTGCAATGAGTATAAAAGGAATTGATATAGACTGTTAGACTGAAATTATTCTCTTCTGCTAGACTTGAAGATAATCATTCTAACAGAATGATTGTGCAGGATTTGGATTTGCCTGAATGTGTTTTGAGGATCTAATGCTTTTGCTTATATTGTGCCATCTCTTACTCTGCAGCGGGCCTGTTAGCTCTGACCAGGTCTGTCGTGTTTTTTTTTAGGTGTATTCTTCATAATATCAGGGCTGTCGTTTGGATTTCTTGGTGCTGTAGCTGGAAGTTGTTCTGTTATCAAGATTAGTACTCCAATTCTTGTATTCTCAAGTCTTGTTTTGTTTTTTACATTTAGGGTCTGTTTTTGTTGGTTATGGTCTTGTGGAAAGATAATAGTGAAACTCCATTTTCTGTTGATATTTGAATTCCCTAGTTTAAATTTTATTCAAGGATTTACTTGTATTTATTCTTCTTAGTCGTCTAAATTATACTGGTTTGAATGTTTACAGAACTGTAAAGCATACATTAAAATATTGGCGAGGCCCAGCCAATATAATGCACAAATTCAAAAAAAAAATATATATATTGGCCGTAGATTTCATCATCCTAAGTTTGAGAATTTAATAGTTGATGAATGTTTAAATTTTATCCTTTTGTCGGATCTTTTGTCCTCCCATTTGTCCTTAAATAATATAATGCAACAAATTGATCATTCAAACAA